GGCTCAGCCTTTTCCCTGGCTGCTGAGATGGAGAATACAACGGGGTCCTGGCTCCCAGGATCCCCCACACAGGGTGGGGCTGGCCTCTGTTTGGAGAGTGGGTTGGATTCACAGGTGGGCAAGTGGGCAAGTGGGCAAGTGGGCGCTAGGGCAACAGGCCGGAAGCTCCCCACGCAGGCTACAAGCTCTCGTGGCTTAGAGTGCCCTCTGGTGCCACAGCCCCTCCCCTGCTCCTACGGGGCCTTAGTCCCCCTGTCTGTAAGATGGGCCACAATCAGTCCCTGCTGATTGCAGTGCCCCAAACATACTGAATACCAAGCTGCATTTATTGAGTGCCAACAGTATGCCTTGCCACTGCAGCCCATCCCCTCATTTCCCCCTGGTCTGGGGTGAGATGGACACCAACCAAGGCCCCACCAGGAAATGTCTGGGCCTTGAGAACAGTGACATGAGGAGCGGGGACTGGTCTGAGTGAGTGAGTGAGTAAGTGGGTGGGGAAACTGAGGCCCAAACAATGGAGGAGAGCAGAGGCATTTGGGGTGACCCAGGTTCAGATAGGACAAGGGGCAGCTAGGGGGCCCCCAGAGGTCCCCTGCCCACGGGGCCTCGCCCTCAGCGTGGAGCCGCCACCGGGAGGAGACCCCGGGCCTGTTGCAGGAATAGGAACGCCCACTGCAGGGCGGGGCTCATTCCTCTGACCCTGAACGGCTCCCATGGGGGGTTATGATAATCCTGCTGCTCAGAGAAGGAAACTGAGGCCCAGAGAGGGCACACGGCCTTGGAGGCACAGAGGCAGGAAGGGGTGGGGCCAGCAGGGCTGCAGGGTCCACTCAGGCCATTGCAGGGGCCTGGTGGGCCTCACCCTCAGCGTGGAGCCACCACTGCCACCGGGAGGAGACCCCTGGCCTGTTGCAGGAATAGGAACGCCCACAGCAGGGCGGGGCTCATTCCTCTGACCCTGGGGGTTATGATGATCCTGCTGCTCAGAGAAGGAAACTGAGGCCAGAGAGGGCACCTGGCCTTGGAGCCACAGAGGCAGGAAGGGGTGGGGCCCGCGGGGCTGCAGGGTCCACTCAGGCCATTGCAGGGGCCTGGCCCCGGCTGCTTTGTCCTGGGCCTCTGCCCACCCCTCCCTCACCAGTAGCTTCTATAAACACAGGCCTAGTCAGGCCCAGAGGGAAGGAGATGAAAGGGGAGGGGGCTGCAGCCTCTGAGTTAACCCCTCCTGTGCTGGGATGGAAGAATGTAGACCCAGCCCCGGGGTAGGGGCCCCTCTCATGTTACCGTGTTATCGTCCGGCCCAGCCCCCGCCAGGGCTGCTGTCCCCTGTGTGGTCAGAGAGATCCCCCTGCTCTTTATCGGCCTGTCCACACTTGCCTGGGCCCTCCCTCCTACCCCCTACCATGGGGTTCAGAGTTTCCAGGCCTGGAGTCCACCCATTTTACCCAAGACCAGCCACCCGGTGTCTTAGAGGTACTTAGAAGGTACTGTGAGCTGCCCCTGACTGTGGGTGAGGCTGGGGGCCCCAGATACATCAGTCCGGCCCCTGGCCAACCAGGGCTGTGAGGGTCTCTGCCCAGTCCTGCCTTCTTCACCAAGACCAGTGCTCCTGGAGGGTAGGCGGCAGCAAACTCCTATGTGTTTCTCAAAACCCAGCTCCAAGGCCCTCTCTTCCCTGCCATCTTGGACCCTCCTTCTCTGTAATTGGGGGCCTTTGGGGGAGAGAATCTGTCAGACCCCCTTCACCCAGGACACCATGTCCTGCATCTCACCAGCTGCCCTCCAGACAGAGGGTCACAAAGTAAGAGCCTTACCCCACCCTCCTGCTGTTTCCCTGACGACCTCTCCACCCTTTCTTATCTCCCCCACAGCCCTCACTGCCCACCCTCATGCCTCTCTGTGCTCTCCCAGCCCCCTCCTTCTATAAACATCCGTCCAGGCCCCACTGGCCTGCTTGCGGCAGAGCCCGGAGGATCTGATTCCTCCGTTCACCCCCACCCCCACCAGGCAGAGCCTAAATCGGTGTCCAGGCAGGATGGCGCTGTGACCACATCTCCGGGCCGAGTGTGCTGACACTGGTGTTGCTTTTTCTCTCTCCCCCCTGGGCTGAAAATGAAATTGGGGCGATGGGGGAAGGTCTGAGGTCCATTTCCCTGTGGTTCTCAGTTCATTGGGGATTTTGCAACATGGGAAGGACCAGAAAGCAGTGAAAAGGTGGCGGGAGGTGGTTCTAGAATGTCCAGAGGTGGACGGCGTCGCCCAGGCCCCGTGGGACAGGCAAGCTGGCCCCTCCCTCGAACCTTCCTCCATCAGGTCACACTCTGCAGTCTCCCTTTGCCCATCCCTAAAGGGGGGGTGGGCGGTAAGCATGACCCTTAGGCTGAGATGTAGCTTGTCAGCCTTCACTGTTTATGGGATGCTCACTCTATGCCAGGCTGGGCACGGAGGATCCAAGTGAGCAGGGCAGGGCGAGGGGTGCATAGAAAGTATACCCAGGATCCCCCTGCCAGGGAGGGAGGTTTGAAGGGGGCCTTCTCTACCCTTGGCCAGGAAAGCGCCAGACAGGCCACACTGAGATCTGAAGGCTCTGAGGCTGGGAACTTCTGGGTAAGAGGATATAGAAGGTCAGGTGGGCAGAAGAGGGGAGCAGGCCTATCTGCAGGGGGCAGCCCTCCCCTCTCTGAGCCAGCCCATTGCCCTTCCTCCCTGGGCAAGCCCACCACCTTCCCCTCCCGGGGCTGTCCCACCTCCCTGTCTCCCTGGGCTGCCCACTGCCCACTCTCTGTCAGTGGTTCCCAACCTTTCTTCGGCCATGCCCCACCTAAGCATCTCTAAAATCCTGATGCCCCCCCCC